ATAATGTCCTCCGTTTTTACTAAGACGTCCTGTCTCCCGCTTACTGAACTCTACTTCCTCTCATCTTGTGAGCTGGTCTTTCCAACTCTGTGCATGTCCTCTGTTCCCTTCTATCCATCTCTGTCTCTCTCTCTCTCTCTGTGTGTGTATGTGTGCCAGTCAGGTCGCTGCCATGGCGCCCCAGCAGCTCTGGGCCTTGTTGATCACAGCACTGTGCCCAAGGGTTCCCATGGCAACGGCAGTGGCAGCAGACAGGGTTCTGTTTTGAAGATGTGTGTGTGTGTGGGCCTAGTGTGGTGGGCAGCAGGCTGTGAACTCAGCAGGCCTCTATCTGGGCAGCAAGAGAAGGACAAGCAAGTCAGAGCAAACAAAGCAGCCTCTATTCACTCTTTTTTTTCCTCTTTTTATTTAACACAGGATGGCATAAGCTATAACTGATGCATGTACACAAGTGACAGCCGGACATGAAAACCCAGGGGGCCGACTAGGACGGTGACATAGAACGCTGCGGCTCCTCTTCCAGCCGTTGTGGCTGAAAAAGTGCAGCATTTTTACAGTCGAGTCAATTTTGGATTGCCAGGTGTGGCTTTGAGAATGTTGTGTTCATGGCTGAGATGTGGAGTGCAGCAGGAAACTGTTAACGGGCACAGAGGAAACGAAGCAGCTGCAGAGTTTTGATGAGCGGGTCTAGTGCTCTGAAGAAATAAAAACCAGCATCTTCGCTCCAGTTAAAGTTAAACAAGTCATTTCTATTGGTAAAAGCCATTGCTTTTGGTAGCAGCAGTCTGGATGCATTTTTCTATAGATTTCGCTCTGGGACTACTTGTTCACAGGGGAACATGACAGCTGAAGCTTAGAGAAAAAACATTTCTTTTGTTAATAGGACTCTAACTCTCCTAGTCCAAATTAGCAAGCAGCTAGCATGCACTCTCTGCTCGCTGTCAGCATAAATCCCCTTTCAAACCTGAGTCTGAGGCTCCATTCTGCTAGCTGTGAAAACAGGAAGGCTCCAGTGTGCAGCTAAACCAGACAATCCTGGTTCTCCTAAAGTCAGCCCATCTGAGATGTAGAGTTATCAAGCAATAAGGGTGTCAGAGGCCTCAGCTGAGTGATTGCAGTCTCCATAGATGGCAATTAGCCTGATATTTGTTTTGGGGCCAAACAAGGGTGTATGTCCTCATTATTCATAGAAGGAAGTTTTTCCCAGAATTGTCTGGGAATCTGCAGATAAGCAGCCTGTGGCTGAGCTTCTGGACTTCATACTGTAACCCATCTTATCATTATCAGCGGTTCATACGCCATGCTTCCTCTCACCTTCTGCGTCTTTGTGTTTTATTTATTTATGTAATTTTTTTTCCCCCAAAGGCAACCACATTTTTATATTATCTATAGTATTAACAGTCAATATCCACCGTTTCAAATGCAACTCCATCCACATGTTTAAACTTCAGAATACCAATATATGGGAAAAAAAAAAAAAAGATTGAAAATTAAATCTATTGAGACTTTTAAAACATTTCCTGCATTTGCAGTTTATGAGAAAACCATGTTTATTTACTGGCTGGTCAGTGAGTTAATGGCTTCAAGCCATCAAAAGCTGACATCTTTCCGGTGTTGAAGACTGTCTCTCTGATAGAAGTGTCTGACAGTTTTTACTGACAACTTATTGACCTCATACTGGCCCCTTTTTATCTCTCTCTCTCTCCCTGTTGGCCTTAAAATGCTTTTATTGGTCTGTCTCTATGACCAAGTTTTTAACTTAATCTGATCTGAAGAAAAGAGATAAAAACAATATTTACATCAAAATATTAATTTACTTTTAGAAACTTTTTTTATGAAAATGTTTTTCAAAATAAAATTTTTTGGATTAAATTTTTTTTTACTATCCATTTACAAAACACATATAAACGAAAAGTCTGCTCATATTCAGAATTCAAACTTCTAAAAGTACTTAAACAATGAAATTATTACATACTGTTCAATAAATGATCAGTGTTTTTAATTAATAGTAATTTTCATTTAAAGATGCTTTACTGGAGACATCCATGTTTGTCAAATAATACTATTGCCACGGTGGGGTATTGGCTGTTGATCAAGTCCCAGTGCTGTAGATGGTGTTTGTCACAACGTGCTATTGTCCAAGTCATCGTGACAAGCTGTCTGTGGCAGATCATGAATCGGGAAGGTGAAATCACTAATTTTTTTCCACTTTTACCTGATATATTGAAACATCCAGCTGCCATGCACGTGGGCATTGTCAGTTTAACTATAGCTCTGGTGAATTTCAATGGTGAAGTTCTCTGGAAATCTTAAATAATTGTTGTTGATTGCAGATCTGTCTAGTAGTTAGGTATAATGATTCATTGATTATTCCTTGCTGACCGGACTTTTCCTTTAAACCATGCCTAAAAGCATGGACAGGCTGGCACATAATATTAAATAACCTAGATCAGCTGATAATAAACACAATCAGATGTTCAGATACATAAACATTTCCCCAGAAACGTACAAAACAAAACAACTATGAGACGGCTCATGCAATAGTCCGTATAAGGTAAAAGTCTGGATGCTGCAGTCAGTGAGTCAGTGGAAACTCCACAGCTTCTGTTAGAGTGATGCAAAACTTGACCTGTCAATGGAGAATAGGAAAAGGTTGCTTGAAAAACACCTTTAATGTAAACTACAGTGAATTTAACCCTCCTGTGTACAGAGACATGGGTGGGTCATAACTGAAACCTCTGGTTCCCCCACCCTAACCAAAGAAGCAGCAGCAGGATCTCAATGCACATTATTCAGCCTGCTTAAAGAAAAGAGGATGCAGCAGAAGCCTGGTTGATATTGTTTTGACATGTGGATTATGGTTGTAATCACATCAGACCTGCACACAGCATGCAGACTGTTCACCATGTATGGTGTTCTGCAGCCTATGATCTTAGTAGACACTGCTGTTCTTGCAAGAGAGGCCTACTTCTCCTTACTTTTCACTCCTCGTCATGGCTTCCTCCATGTTAACACTCAGGGAGCAGGCTGTTTGATCCTCTGGGTTTACTTTATTTTTCTTAAACAGTGAGAATGCAAGAAATCCCTTCCTAAATTTCAGAACTACTTGGTTCCTTCGTCAGGCTTTTATAGAACCAACACTGGCTGACAGAAAAGGCTGCTCCGCCTGGTTTCCCAGCGGTGTTCTCTGAATAAAGTCTCTGTCTGTCCCTTCACTGTGGCTGATGTGCTAAGCTATGCCTCCCAGGCTCCCTGGCTGTTGGTAAATAAAGCTTTCTCAGGAAAAAAAAAAAAAAAAAACAAGCATTCTGGCTTATCAACATAGTTTCAAAATATTGTGGATTTTCTTTTAATTTACTTTATATATACAATTGCAACTCTGATTATACGGCTAGATTGTCTAAAATACCAATTTATTCCTGTTCTGCTTTTTTGTTTTAATAAATGATTTCAGCTCATCAACCAGGTTTTAATGTTGGTAAATTAAAGCTGGAGTGCAAACAAAAATCAGACAGAGGAAAAAAGTAGCCTGTAAGATCACCACTGTTGAAACTTTATGATGTGGATTCCCCATTATCCTCGTCTGCTGTACCATACTGCAGCATTTTGTAATGATCCAATACTTCAAACACCTCAATTTAAGTTCATTCTCATCAGTACCAGATATGTTTACATTGGACTTAACATGGTTTTAAAGGAGTAGTTAAATGTTATTTGGAAGGATGTATTGTTTTTTTAACTCAGTTTTGCACATAAACATTCTACGTGTTCAAGGTTTAAAACACTAATTTCTCTAACCAATGTATATTTATATATCTTTACACAAGCAATAATAATAATAATTGAACTCTGTTGATCTCACATTAGAGAAATTTACCTCTGCACTTAACCTATCCCCTTGGGAAGCAGTGGGCTGCTATCGTGGGGCGCCCGGGGAGCAATTAGGGGTTAAGGGTCTTGCTCAAAGACCCCAAGTGGCAGTCAGTGGGAATGGGGCTTGAACTCGGAACCTTTGGGACCCAAGCGCAATAACCTAGTGGTCATTGCGCTTGGGTTTAGTTCTTAGGATTTGGAGTTAAATTTTTGGCAGAGTGAGAGGTGGGGAAGCTTCTGAGGAAATCCCCTTAAAGTGAGGAAGCAGATGTTAGAATGCAGGCAGAGACAGTGAGTCGGTGAAGGAAACGGACGGGTTTGGTTTTGTGTTTTTTAGAACTGTGCCTGCACTGTTTTGACCAGAATAGCGCTTCTAGAGATACATTTTAAGATTCCAGGAAGGATTGAGGTGTCCAATGTGGTGACGGTCACACTGGACAATCAGGCTGAGGACGGAGGAGAGAGCAGAACGTTTGTCAACAACTTTGTTCCTGTGAGTGTAAAGAAAAACATGTTGCAATCCAGTCAATAATTTTAAAAGAAGTCTAAGTCTAAATAGAAAATGGGCATGATGACTTGGCGGTACTACCCTATTGTAAGAACTTTATTCCAGATGTGTGTGCATGTGGGGGTCAGGTGCACCACACATTGAGCCAATTTAACAAAGGAACAGCTGTTGTAGTCAATATAGATCCAAATCTGTGAAGTTTTTTTTTTTTTTTTTTTTAACATGCATTCACACTTTTACCTTGAATTTGGCCTGTGCTACCCCCTGCTGGTAAACAAACGCAATATCAGTTTTCGAGAACTCAAAATGTAAAATGGTAGAATATGTTGCTTCTTGACCTCCGTTGTTACGGATGAAACTGTGAAGTAAATGGTTGGATCATTGAGTTTTCAGTAAAAGCAAAAGTATTGGATGAAAACAGAAGATAACTACAGACTCACACCCAATTTTTTCCACACCACCAAACGAGGCCGTTTCTGGAGGAGACGAACATCGACCACATGATTTGATCCCCAATTCTTTTAAAAATGGCCTTTAAACCTCACTGTTGGACTGGAAGTGGATCCTAATTCTACCTCTGTTTGGGACTAATCTCTTTCTTTGTTTGTTTTTTTTGCAGCTGAACTGGAGTTTGTTCAGATTGTCATCATCATCGTGGTGATGACAGTGATGGTGGTGGTGATCATTTGCCTCCTCAATCACTACAAGCTATCCACGTGGTCCTTCATAACACGCCAGAGCCAGGCCCGCAGGCATGACCACACCCTGCAGCAGGTTAGAAGTGGCACTTTTCTTTTTCTAACACGCCTTGTGTGGGTGTACCATCAATCATGGTTTATGTTTGGATTAATTTGTACAATACTTGATTCACAACAAATGTCTTCTCAATGTACTTTACAACACAAGCAGATAAGGTATATATATTCCCCTCCCACAAATTACCCAGGTTCTTGTATGTGCTCTTAATAATCTTAAAATAATCATGCAGTAGTTGGTGTGTTAATCCAATTCATCCATCCATCTTACATTGATGAATGTATGAGTGTATGTATGAGTTCATATGCAAACTTCAACAACATAAACGACTGTCTGGACCAGTTAAAACAGCTATATAGCATCATAGCTATCTCTGAAACATAGATCAATCATGAGAAAGCTGGATGATTATGAGTTCAATTACATCAATATAGAAGAGATAACTGGGGGAGAAGTAGCTGTGTATGTTGACAAAAACATAAAGTATAAAATAGTAGAAAACATGACCATAGTGACTAAAGATGTATTTGAGGGTTTAACAGTTGAAAAAAAGTCAAAAAATGTCATCATTAGCTGTGTATATATAGAGCTCCTGGCTCGAATAAATTAGAGAATAGTTTGAGCAGACATACACAGTCACATCCCAGAAGGTCTTCTTCAACTTTGGAGACTTTAATATTGATCTTTGTAACTCAAATAATCATAAACCTACCGAAGAGTTCACTAATACCATGTACAGTTTGAGCCTTTCTCCAAAAATCACTAGACCCAGCTTAACAGTGCCACATTAATAGATAAGATATTCACTAATATCTGAGATAACAATATGTTAAGTTAATTAACAGGGCAGCATATTAGGCATCATCTTTGAGTCTTTGTTTTCAGCAAAAAAACTATGTACAAAATAAGGATAAAAGTAATCCTCAATTTAAAAGAGTAAGAAAAGAGGATTCACTAAAATCTTTCAAAGAATCCTTATTGAAACATAACAGGTAGTCTGTTTTGCAAGAAGATACTGTTGATATATATATGGATGAAAAGTTATCCAAGCAACAGGCAACAATTTGTACAAATGGGTGACTGCCAGTCATCGGGCTTGGGCATGGTTTGTGGTGTCCCCCAGGGGTCGGTATTGGAGCTAAAATGATTTATCCTTTATAGTAATGACATCCGCGTTTGATAGATCTGAGGCCAGAAATGAGGATATGTTCTCTGACCCATTTGTTTACGTTTGTTCGTTTTAATTGAGCAACCATGCAGCCAGCCAATCTCTCCTATCAACTGTGTTTGTCACAATTTAATCTGATTGTTTCCCTATTTCTGCCTTTTGTTCTACAGGCTGCATAAACAGTCGGTTCTAGTGGAGAAGCTGATTTCCAACCGTTATGCTATTTTTAGTTTGGAAATGTTTCTTGTCCTTTCTTGCTCGGGTATCAAACCTCCATGGTGTGGGTTAGGGTATGTTGATGATGCAGAAACATCCTTGTCACAGAGAATTAAATATTTATAGGGAGAGGATCCGACAAGGTAGTTGACAGGACATCAGATTACTTGTTATTAGTTTGTTTGAAATGAGCGAGATGCGGATCATTTAGTTTTTATTTAGTTATATTTACAGGATATAAAGAACTACTCAAATTATATTTAGATTACACATGTATAGATTCATTAATTCTGCGGGGAGAAAAGGAATTTAGGGTTAGGATTAGGATTCACCTGATAATAACAAACTAATAAGCCTAGTGGCACAGTGTGAAGCCATTCTATGGGACTGATAACTGCTTGTAACAGCCATTTATTGGGATGATAACATCCGAAGCACAGCTTCACCATTTCCGTCACACTTATCCCAAGGGGGGTCGGTAGGGGTGCTGGTGTCTATCTCTCCAGCTGTCTACAGGTGAGAGGCGGGGTGCACCCCGGGCAGGTCACCAGGCTATTGCAGGGCAACACAGAGACCAACAGGATAAACGATCATTCACTCGCACACCTAAGGAGAATTTCGAGAAGCCAATTAACTGAAGGGAACCCACGCATGCTCAGGGAGAACAGAAAAATCCCGAGCCGGGAATCAAACCCGGAACCTTCTCGCTGCAATGCAGCAGTACTGCCAACTGCTCCACTGAGCAGCCCTTTCTATATCACCAAATTTAAAAATGACATAAACTAACAACAAACACAGGCCAGAAAAGCAGAGCAGGAAGTCAGCACAAAGGACAACAAAGGAAAACTATGGTTGAAAAAAAATACTCTGGTATGAAGTGTTCCAGAAGTAAAGATTTTGAAGTGGCCTGCCTGCTCACAGAGGTTTCCACCAGAAAGTTCTGACCCAAACTTCTTGGGTTGGCTTGTTGCTTAGTTTTTAACCCTTTATATGGAAGGTTACCGGCACAAACCCTAACCCTACTCCTGAGAATTAATATTATAAAATTTATAGCAGTGCACAATTTTTGAGTCATTTCTCATGTATAGGTCTGCAGTTATTAGCTAATAGATCCCTGTTTTATGTCTGGGACAAGCTTTGATTCATAGGTGTCTTTTATTATTATTTATTCATTGTCTATCTATGGCCCTGTCCTTGTATAGATTTGCACCATGTTTAGACTGCAGACTGAAAGCTTTTGTTAGTTTACTAACAAGCAGCGCTGCTCGATCGAACTAAGGTGTAGGTTATCCCTTTTCCTTTATGCAAAACAGCCTTAAATTGTGCAAAAACTTTAAGACTGGAATAGAGATTCCACTTTTAGTAATATACTGAAATTATACACTCACCGGCCACTTTATTAGGTACCCCATGCTAGTAACGGGTTGGACCCCCTTTTGCCTTCAGAACTGCCTCAATTCTTCGTGGCA